AATCTGATACGTTATAATTATTATGCTATCAGCCTACATGCGATCCCCGGGCTGGTCGACAGGCGGACCAGCCAGCCTGCTAGTGGGTTCTCGGCCTCGCACACAAATCCACACAAAATGTTACTGCACTGAATGCATTCCCCCGATACACTTCGCATATATACTCATTCTCTTGATGGTACCGTACTCTTGATGGTACGGGACAGGTAGGGGATAGCGCCAGGCATGTCGATGGCACAAACAAACAAACATAATAAAAGTAGCCAGCTGTCTTTGCTGGTACGGTACAGTACGGTACAGATACGGGATAGCGCCAGGCGTGACACAAACAAACAAACAAACAAACAAACACCAAATTAAAGCTGTGTGGACCCTGGCTAGCGCCAGACGTTACTGAAGTAACGTCTTCTGCATAGCTACGGGAATAATAACCATTTTTACTGTGAAGAAAAATTCACTTCAAAAAAATCTCCTACTCAAACTTCATGCGATGAGTGGGATTCGAACCCACCATTCTGCGTACATGTAGGCTAAACTATTCCCATACGAATAGGATACATTGTAGCAAGTCATCTAACGCAATTGCCCTGACGTGGAAATATCTATTTGAGTATTTGAAATGTCTACTTTTTAGCTCAGTGCTGGAATGTGTTAGAAAACTGGAAAAATCACCAACACTGATGAAAAGGTCAGCCTAGTCTGCCTTCTACCAGCCTTTTCGGATTCCCACGAAAGGAAATAGAGCCTCGCTGGCCTTACGACTAAGCGAGAGTTACTGGCTCGTGTGCTGTTGGCGGTAGTCAATAATATTGTCCTTCAAACGTTTCCCGTTAACACCTTTCCAAGGTCTATTGCATAGTCATTACTGGCTCATTTACTGATGTACAATTGTCCACCGGGAGCATAGCGCTATCGAGTTCGACAATAGGGCACAAAACGGACAGAAATTCGTGTCAAAACTCGTAATATTACACTTTGGCTCTGCATAGTTTTTATTCATGATTACACTGGTTCAAAAACCTAGTTCACTTTGCCCCTGTGATGAGTCGTCATCAGCTAGACGGCGAGACTGGTGGTCGTGAGAACCTATATGTCATAACGAGTGCCAAATTATTATTATTATTATCTATATTTGAGGATTTCCCAAAGACGTAGTCTAAATTGAAGGGAGTTCCATTATAAGGGGAGGCTGTAGGGTTGAGATAGCAGACAGTGGAGGGCTAATAATTCGTAATGAACAGCCTAGCAAGAGAAATACAATGATGCTGAATGTTCCAGAATGGTCCTTTAATCAACGATACCTATAGCCTCGGGGTATGCCTTGAAATACGAAATGTACCGAAACAGAAACACAAAAATTAATAAGAATAAGCGCAACGCACAAAGAAGGAGGACAGAGGCATGTCAGTGCGGAGTGGCATTGTGTTTGGTGTCAGAGAAGTGCGTGCAAATGTGACTGTGAAACAGGGACTGCGAGGCTGTGGCTCTCAGGTCTGCGGGCAAGGCATTCCAGACAGTAAATCCGTAGCGTCGGTGGCGCATACAGACATTGACGAGACGAATACTGAACCACGGACAAGAAAAAGAAGACATAGACAGACAGAATACAGAAAAACGGAATCAATATGCAGAGAATTGCAAGAGGCCTACACTTTACAAGGGCAACTGCCAATTATGCTGTGGGTTATTACAACACTGGGAATCAGGTACCGAAGACGGCAACATCAGCACCAAAGGAGCAGTCAATTACAATGATCAAAACGACATTAATCCTCGAGGGCCTCGCGCAATGGCAGTGATCGACCTGGTTGAGGAGAATGACACGATGGCAGACACGGAAGACGAGCCGGCAGTTGAAACGGATAACGACCTCTCAACACATGCCATATGAAAAGGTATGTGCAGAGTATGGGATATTGACACAAAAGACGAAAACACACGAGCGAGATGTGATACTGCACTGTATGCATAATAATCCCTGCTTGTTTTGCTAGGGAAAACAATTCATTCCAAAAACAATTCTTCTTGAAGATACATGTGATGAGTGGTATTCGAACCCACCATTCTGCGTAGGTTGAACTCTTTCCATACGCATAGGATACATTGAAGCAAGTCATCAAACGCAATGTTCCTGTCGTGGAAATATCTATTTGAGTATTTGGAATATCTACCCGTTAGCCCCGTGCTGCAATGTGTTCTTGCAAAGTTAAAAAGTCAGGATATCTCATGAAAATGTCCGCCTAGTCTGCATCCTACGAGGCTCTTCGGTTTCCCACGAAGCGTGACGTCTATGTGGGAAGAATTGTTGAACGGTCGCTGCTGGTATGACGCCTACACCATAGCTTAGTAGTGGAGCGTCGCTGGCCTTACGACTAAGCGAGGGTCAGTGCTGTATTTTGTTGGCAAACTGGAAAAAATCACCATCACTGATGAAAATGTCAGCCTAGTCTGTTCTACCAGCCGCTTCGGATTCCCACGAAAAGTAATAGAGCCAGCCCCCTGGCCTTACGACTAAGCGAGAGTCCCTGGTTGGTGTGCTGTTTGTGATAGTCAATTGTCCTTTATTTTTATTATTATTGCATCATCATCCCGTGGCAAGCAATGCAAATATAGAATGAGAGAGGGGTGATAGCCAACCACCACCAAATCAACAAGAAAAGAACTAGACGTACATGTATAGGAAAGAAGGAAAAAATAAGGAAGATAACTCAAAAGAAAGAAGAAAGCTCAAGAGATACGAATTACACAGTGGCCCAGAACAGGTGAATACCTAGCGAAGTAAAGTAGCAAAAGTGGAAAGTCGTTGGAAGGTGTTGAGGTCCTGTGACCTCAACGACCAATGTGTATACAGTTGAACATCGATTATCCGACCACCTCTGGGCACACAACTGTCAGGCGGTGTTTAGATAAGGCAAATGTTCCGGATAAGAAAAAACTGTCACTCACACACTTTCAGTGGTTATTACTAGCCGCACGACCATTTTACTTTTTACTTTTCAAAATTTTCGTATTTTTTGAACGGCTCACTACATGCACAGTGCGTACTCTACGGCACGTGCGCCCAAAAAAACTGTTACGGATAATCGAATGGTCGGATAGTCGATGTGCGGATAATCGATGTTAAACTGTACATTATGTACTAGTTAGCCTAAAATAGAGGGGACTTCAGAAGAGTGGCTGTGCGAGAGACAGGGAAGCAGAGATAGTTTCTGCAAACGTTTACCGTTAAGACTTTTCCAACGTCTATTGCATAGTCCTTACTGGCTCATTTACTGATGTACAATTGTCCACCGGGAGCATAGCGTTATCGGGTTCGCCAATGCCGTTCAAAACGGACAGATATTTGCGTCAAAACTCGTAACATTACATTTTGGCTCTGCCTGGTCTTTACCCATGATTACACTGTTTCAAAAACCGAGTTCACGTTGCCCCTATGATGAGTCGTCATCAGCTAGACGGCGAGACTGGCCGTCGTGAGAAACTACATGTCATAGCGAGTGCCGAATCCGTAGCGTCCGTGGAGCATACATACAAGGACGAGACGAATACTGGACCACGGACAAGAAAAAGAAGACCTAGACAAACAGAACACAAAAAAGCAAAATCCTGCCGAGATTTGCAAGAGGCCTAAACTGTAGAAGATCGATTGCAGTCAACTACAAGGATCAAAACGACATTAAGTGCGAAGTATGGGATATGGACACAAAGGACAAAAACACACGAGCTAGACGTGATACTGTACTGTATTCATAATAATAACCTTTTTTACTGTGAAGAAAAATTCACTTCAAAAAAATCTCTCGTTCAAACTTCATGCGGTGAGTGGGATTCGAACCCACCATTCTGCGTACATGTAGGCTAAACTCTTCCAATACGAATAGGATACATTGTAGCAAGTCATCTAACGCAATTGCCCTGACGTGGAAATATCTATTTGAGTATTTCAAATGTCTACTTTTTAGGTCAGTGCCCGAATGTGTTAGAAAACTGGAAAAATCACCATCACTGATGAAAAGGTCAGCCTAGTCTGCCTTCTACCAGCCTCTTCGGATTCCCACGAAAGGTAATACAGTGGACCCTCGCTAACCTTACGACTAAGCGAGAGTTACTGGCTCGTGTGCTGTTGGCGGTAGTCAATTTTACTTCAAACGTTTCCCGTTAACACCTTTCCAACGTCTATTGCATAGTCATTACTGGCTCATTTACTGATGTACAATTGTCCACCGGGAGCATAGCGCTATCGAGTTCGACAATAGGGCTCAAAACGGACAGAAATTTGCGTCAAAACTCGTAACATTACACTTTGGCTCTGCATGGTTTTTATTCATGATTACACTGGTTCAAAAACCTAGTTCACTTTGCCCCTGTGATGAGTTGTCATCAGCTAGACGGCGAGACTGTTTGTCGTGAGAAACTACATGTCATAACGAGTGCCAAATCCGTCGCGTCGGTGGCGCATACAGACATTGATGAGACGAATACTGAACCACGGACAAGAAAAAGAAGACCTAGACAAACAGAATACAGAAAACGAAATCAATATGCAGAGAATTGCGAAAGGCCTACACTGTACAAGAGCAACTGCCAATTATGCTGCGGATCATTACAACACTGGGAATCAGGTACCGAAGACGACAACGTCAGCACCAAAGGAGCAGTCAATTACAATGATCAAAACGACATTAATCCTCGAGGGCCTCGCGCCATGGCAGTGATCGACCTGGTTGAGGAGAATGACACGATGGCAGACACGGAAGATGAGCCGGCAGTTGAGACGGATAACCATATCACATTATATTTATTTATATTTATTTAGAAAAGCGATCCTGTCAGCTTTTCTATTATTGTGTTCACATGGCAAGAAAAACGACACCGCTATGCTACGTAACTTTCTACGTAAGGTGCTCGGTATTTCACTTAGGCTACGTAAATCTCTACGTAAGGTGCTCGGTATTAGATCTACCAACGGGTGGAAGGCGCGTGCTGTGCACTGCACGGCAGACATTGTGTTGCAGTGCAGTCCGTGTTCGGATGTGCATGCGCAAGGAACTTCCTTCTTTGGAACTGCTTCTTGTATGAGCTGTTTCGGATATTTCGACTCCTGGCCTGGCTTATTTCGTTTCGGCGCTGCTGAGACCTCCTTTCGCGGAATATTACTGACAGGTGAGTTGACCAGTTCCCTTTGATTCATTTGCTTGTGTTCACTCTTTCATTTACGAAAAGTGTGCTGATCTTGGGCGGAATGCAATAAATAATGGAAAAGCTGACAGGATCTCTTTTCTAAATAATTTAGCTTTTCCGCTGCCGAGGCCTCCTTTTACGGAATGCTCGATGACAGGTGATCTCTGAGTTGACCGGTTTCCTTCGATTCATTTGCTTATGCTCACCCTTTCATTTACGGAAACGTGTGCTGATTTTATTCGGATTTAGATCCATTTTTATCTCTTTGCCCTTGTCTACAGTGTACGAAGAACGCGAGTTCACGGTAAGGCTTACCGGTATGTTAAAATGTGTTGTCGAAATACTCATATTCATTGTACATTGGAACGTTACAAGTAAGGCACTGGTCAGTGGCATACTATCGTTGGCAGTTCCCAATCTGGAGGGAAAGGTTCAAGGACCCATTGACCGAGTTTGCAAAATAAATTCGCATATCAGGGAAAATCTCCATTGTGGAGAGGTTCAGTAAACTTGTTTGCTTCATGCGAAACAAGCCAATGGGTGCAGTCTCGTCTCGTGAAGATCTCGTACTTGTAGTTGTATGATTGGATTTGTTTACTTGAGTCTGGGCTGTTTGATTTATTATTTGTGAGTACCGCCGAGATTGCACTGCCCCAAATAAAGTTTCGTGCCGCCAAAGCAAGAATTACGATCTGCAATCTGTTTGTAGTACCTGCAAGAATGTGCTGTACATGTATCGTACTTTCTCTGTTGCTGTTTCAGTTGCCGTCATGTTGTTAAAAAAACGTTCAGTAGAGAGGTTCTGCAAAACGAAAATTCGAACGAAGTTTCTCGACAGTCCTTGCGAAAGTGTGTACGAATTTTTGCACGAACTTTGCGTTCTGCACATTTTCGTAGTTTGCGCGGGCCAAGTGCACGTACGCCATGACCCGATCTCACGAAATGTCCTACGAGTACGACAGTTCATTTCGCGTTCCCTGCAAGTTTCGCGTCCCAAGTTGCGAAGTTTTGCACTTCATGGCAATGAACGAACCTTTTTACGCATTTTCGTTTTGCAGAACCTCTCTAGTGACTCATTTGTTTCATACGAGACGAGTCAATGAGTTGGTGTGGCTTAGAATCTTTCGCTGTAGAAGAAATCTATTCGTATGTCTATTGGAGAAATAATTGTATTCACTGGTTATAAAATAGGTTAAGACAAACTCACAGAATAAATACCATTGGTCCCTTGGTGTTCGTCCTAAAGAGGTTCGACTGGATATCATTCATACTCACCAAAAGATGTGTAAGATTTTATTATTATGGAGTGCCTTGTTTATCTCTCAGTACCTCCAACCAAAGCCTATCCCCTTTTATCCTCAGGATCAGTGTAGTTGTTGGAACGAGGTTTTGGACTCAGCAATGTATTTGTTTACATTTTAATACATGTTTATTGTTCCTCCTTTGTGTTGTTTTAGAAAATCGTGGACTACCAGTTTGAAGTCATTGAACTACTTCCAAAAGTTGTATCGACATCAACAGGATTACGATTTCAGTGCAATATGATGCAGGATGACCTTATCACGATAACCCATGATTATAAACCATTATAAACACAGAATCAACAAAAACATCTGCGACAAGTACCTTGTTACATTTCTCAAATAAATCTGATCGAGGGTGGGGAAATCTGAAATATCTATCTGAAAGGCAAGACAATTTTATGACAGTCATGAAACACCCTAGTAAAATAAATAAAATAATAATAATATTAACTGGTTTGAGGGAAAGAGACAAACGGGAAAAGTCTGAAGAAAAAATTGACTATCACCACCAGGACTCGAACCAGGGACCCTCGCTTGTAGCCAGCGATGCTCTAACCACTGAGCTATGGTGTAGTCGTCATCCCAGCAGAGACTGTTCAACATTTTCTTCAGACTTCGTAACTCACACTTCCTGTGAATCCACACAGGCGGGTGGGACGCAGCCCTCACTGTAACCCACACACTTCACGTACAAACTAGCACGCGGGGAGCCCCAAGTCATAAAATATTAACTGGTTTGAGGGAAAGAGACAAACGGGAAAAGTCTGAAGAAAAAATTGACTATCACCACCAGGACTCGAACCAGGGACCCTCGCTTGTAGCCAGCGATGCTCTAACCACTGAGCTATGGTGTAGTCGTCATCCCAGCAGAGACTGTTCAACATTTTCTTCAGACTTCGTAACTCACACTTCCTGTGAATCCACACAGGCGGGTGGGACGCAGCCCTCACTGTAACCCACACACTTCACGTACAAACTAGCACGCGGGGAGCCCCAAATAATAATAATAATAATAATAATGAAATTCTGCTACAGCAACATGCACAGAATGACCTCCTTATAAAAAAAGTATCACCACTGTCCACCACTACACTCACATGTATCCCCGCAGAAGAACATGCTAGTGCCATTTTCTGCAAGAAAAGGCTTGCACATCAATGCGTATGATACGGTGTAATTGACATGATGTGAAGGCCATCATTTACATAATTATTGATATAGGGCATTCCATTGGTGACAGAAAAAACAAAAGAAATTATAGCAATAAAAACTGCTTTATGGCAGTTTTCTAAAAAAAAGTTATTGTGTTCTCGTCCATGGACCCCGTCTAAAAAGTAAGAAATTAACGAAATGTGATAGCCGAAAATTAAAATTTCACACAAAACCTCACAATAATCACATACAGAATGAAAAGCTACATGCAGAAGACCTGTAAAAGGCCCTAGGCCTGTGGGACTGCCGTATTCAAAATTTAATAATAATAATAATAAGACCTTTTCCCCTCGTGATCCTCTTTCCTATGCATGCATGACATGCATGTTGCCAATTGTTGTGCGGTACAAGTTTAGTGTTGAAAGCAGCATTTCAAGTGTTGTGATTATTGTGAGGTTTTGTGTGAAATTTTAATTTTCGGCTATCACATTTCGTTAATTTCTTACTTTTTAGACGGGGTCCATGGACGAGAACACAATAACTTTTTTTTAGAAAACTGCCATAAAGCAGTTTTTATTGCTATAATTTTTCATTGGGAACACAGCCCTACAAAGAGACATGTGGAGACAAACACAAGACAAGACACAGGGGATGTAGGGACGACGTGCCGATGTACAGGGAGCAACTCGACCGACCAGGGGTCTCGGTGTTAGCGTTGCACCCTGGCATCGACAAAAAGGGGGGGTTGCATGGTCAAGTAGCAAAAATAATAATTTGGCGCGAGAAAGGGGCGCTAGTATTGCACCAAATAATATAAATACGTGTAATGACTAAACCAGAAGGGAAAAAGAAGAAAGAGAACAATAATCATAACAAGCAAGTACTAGTAGAGAGGTAAATACTAAATGGGTCTCAATATCTTCGTCACAGGTACTGTGTGGACCACAGCCATCTCTTTCGGATTAGATCCATACATACGTCGACCTTGAAGGTTTGGAGGCGTCTTGAATGTTTTTCGTGAAGCAGGAGGTCCGCAGGCAGGTTGTTCCAGGGTGTGATGGCGAAGAAGGGGAAGGATCGCAGGAGGTAGTCAGGGGCTGTGCGAGTTGGTGTCCACTTCAGCTGGAAGGCATGGTGCGTCTGACGTTTTTGCCGTGTGCACATGCTAGCTACGGCAGGGGGCTTGGTTGGTGGCAGCATGGCCTTTACCTGGGGAGGCCCTGGAATGTAGTGCAGCTTGAACAAGTATGACAGGGCTGCCACCATCCGACGAAGCTGAAGACTTTGGAGGATGGTTCCAGGTCCCAGGAAATGCAGGGCACGTTGCTGAACCTTGTCCAGCTGGGCCATGTTAGTTGCGGCTGCGCTCGACCAGGCCAGTGGGGCATATTCAAGTTGTGGTCGCACGAATCCCCTGTAGACCGTCACTCGACCATAGTCGTCCAGGATGGGTGCTGCCTTTCGCAGGAAACCCAGCCTATGGGAGGCGCAGTGCAACACTGCGAGTGCGCGCTCTGAAGGAGAGAGTAGGGTCGAGCTTAACTCCCAGAAGCTTCAGGGTATCTGTCTCCTGGAGTGCTTCACCTCCAAAGGTGACTGGTGAAGTGCAGGGGGAACGTGTTTGCGATGTAGAGTCATGCACTGTGTCTTGGCCGGCTCAAAACAGATACGCCACTTGCGGCCCCACTCCTCAGGACTGTTGAGGGACCCTTGAAGGGAGGCAGTGGACTGTTGGAGATCGTCAGTGCAACACGAAATGGTACCTGTGGAGTATGGGATATGGACACAAAAGACAAAAACACACGACCTAGAGGTGATACTGTACTGTATTCATAATAATAACCTTTTTTACTGTGAAGAAAAATTCACTTCAAAAAAATCTCCTGTTAAAACTTCATGCGATGAGTGGGAATCGAACCCACAAATTCTGCGTACATGTAGGCTAAACTCTTCCCATACGAATAGGATACATTGTAGCAAGTCATCTAACGCAATAGCCCTGACGTGGAAATATCTATTTGAGTATTTGCAATGTCTACTGTTTAGCTCAGTGCTGGAATGTGTTAGAAAACTGGAAAAATCACCATCACTGATGAAAAAGTCAGCCTAATCTGCCTTCTACCAGCCTCTTTGGATTCCCACGAAAAGTAATAGAGCCTCGCTGGCCTTACGACTAAGCGAGAGTTACTGGCTCGTTTGCTGTTGGCGGTAGTCAATTGTCCTTTAAACGTTTCCCGTTAACACCTTTCCAACGTCTATTGCATAGTCAATACTGGCTCATTTACTGATGTACAATTGTCCACCAGGAGCATAGCGCTATCGAGTTCGACAATAGGGCTCAAAACGGACAGAAATTTGCGTCAAAACTCGTAACATTACACTTTGGCTCTGCATGGTTTTTATTCATGATTACACTGGTTCAAAAACCTAGTTCACTTTGCCCCTGTGATGAGTCGTCATCAGCTAGACGGCGAGACTGGTGGTCGTGAGAAACTACATGTCATAACGAGTGCCAAATCCGTAGCGTCGGCGGCGCATACAGACATTGATGAGACGAATACTGAACCACGGACAAGAAAAAGAAGACCTAGACAAACAGAATACAGAAAAACGAAATCAATATGCAGAGAATTGCAAGAGGCCTACACTGTACAAGAGCAACTGCCAATTATGCTGTGGATTATTACGACACTGGGAATCAGGTACCGAAGACGACAACGTCAGCACCAAAAGAGCAGTCAATTACAATGATCAAAACGACATTCATCCTCGTGGGCAAGATGCATTTTTTGATGTAAGGGTGTTTAATCCTGACGCTTCTTCCTACGCGTCCAGAAGCCTGGACGCGCTCTTCCGGCAACATGAGGGCGCTAAGAGACTGCAATATCAGGAGAGAGTAGTCAATGTGGAGCGTGGTGCCTTTGCACCTCTTGTGTTTTCCGTGAATGGGGCTGCCGCGCCGGCATCCACGGCCTTCCTCAGGCGCCTTTGCCTCCTTACAGCTCAATCTTCGGGAGGTAGCTATTCGTCGTTGATGAGTTATTATCGTTGTCGGGTGTCTTTCGCGCTGCTACGTTCCGCTGTGTTGTGTGTCAGGGGTGCTCGGTCGTCCCGTCATCGTCCAGTTCACATGCTTCGTGAGTTGGCGATGGGGGAGGGTCGGGTTCCCCTGCAGTGATTGGTGCTGCGCCGAGCTAGTTTGGTGTGAAAGTGTAACTAATGTTATTATTCTTATATATACATCAAGTAGTACTAAATAACTGAGAGGCTTTGAATCGTTTTTATCAAAATCAAAATATTTGCCGGGTTGGAAGGTGGGATCAAAAAAAAAAAAAAAACAAAAAAAAAAAAAAAAAACATTCATCCTCGAGGGCCTCGCGCAATGGCAGTGATCGACCTGGTTGAGGAGAATGACACGATGGCAGACACGGAGGATGAGCCGGCAGTTGAGACGGATAACCAGATCACATTACATTTATTTTTATTTATTTTTTATTGGGAACACAGCCCTACAGAGAGACATGTGGAGACAAACACAAGACAAGACACAGGGGATGTAGGGACGACGTCCTGATGTACAGGGAGCAACTCGACCGATCAGGGGTCTCGGTGTTAGCGTTGCAACCTGGCATCGAAAAAAGGGGGGGGTTGCATGGTCAAGCAGCAAAAATAATAATTTGGCGCGAGAAAGGGGCGCTAGTATTGCACCAAAAAATATAAATACGTGTAATGACTTAACAAGAAGGGAAAAAAATAAAGAGAACAATAATCATAACAAGCAAGTACTAGTAGAGAAGTAAATACTAAATGGGTCTCAATATCATCGTCACAGGTACTGTGTGGACCACAGCCATCTCTTTCGGATTAGATCCTTACATACGTTGACCTTGATGGTTTGGAGGCATCTTGAATGTTTTTCGTGAAGCAGGAGGTCCGCAGGTAGGTTGTTCCAGGGTGTGATGGCAAAGAAGGGGAAGGATCGCAGGAGATGGTCAGGGGCTGTGCGAGTTGGTGTCCACTTCAGCTGGAAGGCATGGTGCGTCTGACGGTTTTGCCGTGTGCACATGCTAGCTACGGCAGGGGACTTTGTTTTTTGAGCAGTATGGCCTTTACTTGGGGAGGCCCTGGAATGTAGTGCAGCTTGAACAAGTATGACAGGGCTGCC